AAAAAACAGTAATGCCATATAAGTACCCTGGTACAAGTAAAAGTTGGTAATGCTGCCTCAGTAAAAGTATGTGAGAACTATCCCATAAATATGCTTAAAATAATAAAAGTAAAAGCACCTGTTGCACCACTTTGTATGGTGTCTTTAGGTTATTGCTACTGATACAAAAGCAGGACTTTACTGTTACTGAACCTATTTTAACTACAACACGATATTTTTATTCCAAATTAATCAGCTGATGATGTTTTCCCTTTAACCCTCCTGTTATCTTTAGGATCAATTTGACCCAATCCAACGTTTAACATCTCTAAATACATCACTGACATAATTTCTTCTGTTTTATTTAAAGGGCTATTTACACATAAACTTGGGTAACGGTTGTAATTATGCTATTTTCTGGAGGTTTAAATTGTTGAGGTCAAATTGAACCCCAAGGATAAACAGTAAATGTGAAGGTAACAGGAGGGTTAATCGACTGAGTGGTTTATAAAACTCTGAAAATAGGGAGAAAAGTCCTCACACACCTGACTAAGAACTGACAAACTGTTGGAGCTGGACTGAGCTGCTGGATGGTTTCATTCACAACAATTTTTTTGTGTGCAAAAATCTTTATTTGTAAATTAACCAAAGACCAGAGAAGTAAAAAAGTCCAACGTTTCCCTCTGAGATGTACTCAGGTAGAAGTAGAAAGTGGTATAAACAACTCAAGTATACACATAAGGACAGTACTTGAGTAGATGTACTTAGTTACATCACTAAATGGTACCGACATCAGTGAGAGAGGCTTGAAGTTATGGACTAAAAGCTGCCTGCTGTTGCTTTAGCTTTCTTTTTCTGGGGATAATTTGTGATAGTTCTCGATTATTTCCTCACAAATGTCCACTTTCTAGAATACATGTATGTTCTTGGTATTCAGAGAGGAAGTCACCGTGTGTCGGTCTGTGATGTGTTCGTCACCACAAGAGACGAGGACGTGAAAGGAAGACTCTAACAGGGATGTTCTGTTTGACTAAATGCCATGATTGAGTTGCTTCGGAATAAAAACTCACAATGTTTTGTGTGTAAAGGCCTCGTATCGTTCAGTCGCATGGTGTTTGTAGGACGTTTTGCATTGTGTGGCTGCTGCAACACAACAGACTGTGTTGGTGCCATCAAGTGTAGCTCAACAGTCATTACCACGTCTGTGAGAACACCGAGAGTCCTCTGAGCTCAGCAAGAGATGAAATGCAAAATGAACAGTGATGATGAGCTTCTCGACTTCAGGATATTGTTCATGATGAAAGAAGGAAATGAAATGACTCTTTGATTTGAGGCACTGATCAGACAAAAAGCTGCAGAACATCAACAGATCAGAACACGTGAATGATCAGAGAGACGCTTCCACTCATGCTCATGGGGAAAACAATCCCACAGCAGGCCGCTCCACGGAGGACCAGAGTGCTACAGCTTGTTGTTCTGTGATTTATGGCTCCACCATGCGGCAGACAGCCACATGTTCTGTACCTCGTGCTGCACAGAGTCTGCGCAGACAGTGTCTCACTCCGACACGGATTGTGAGGACTGTCGTAACTGTCCAACAAAACAATTAACAGGAATAGCTTCCTGGGCACGTTTCATGACACTGCTTTTGAATTTTGGGTCAACAGAAGTATATAAAAACAACAACAAACAAACAAGCAATCACTGCCATCAGGTGTTTCCTGTAACTCTCAGTCAGACTTCTCACCTGTTGACAGGTATTCTGACCCACTGCTCATCAGCAAAGGGCTCTAATTAGTCCGGGACAGTTTCTTTTTTTTCTTTAAATTATTCTTTTCAAGCACAATTCAAAAGCAGCGTCTTATTTCACTTAATTGTAATTTAGCAAATTTTTATTTATTTATGTATTATATTTTTTTCAGTTTCTTGTTATTTCAGTGACTATTGTGAATTTTGTCTTTTCTTTAATGGAGGGGGATGAACACGTTTGAGGACGACTGTGTGTATTTGCTCTGAGCGGTTGGATCAGTGGAGGAGTGATCTGTCGCTCCTCACACACGATCTTCGAGCCGAGGGGCCGAGCCGTGACGAAGTTCTCCGATGTTTGTCGAAGCGAGCCGCCGCCGGCGGAGCTGCTCCCTTTAAACAGGCTGCGCTCCGCAGTGTTCCAGCCGCTCTTTGTCCACGACCCGCTTTCTGACGACGCGTTTCCCCTTTAAGGTGATGTCGGACACAGCGACGCGTTATTTAATTATTTCGTGTCATGTCGGCAGGCAGAAACTTGGACTGAACAATAAAAGACGGTAGGAGGAGGAGAGCAGCGGAGCATCCCCGGCGGGCAGCATCACATGTCGGCGCGGCGGACGGCTAGCCGAGCTCGGGACTAGCAGCAGCGGTCCGGTGTCCTTGCTCGTGTCAGCGGCGGTTCACCAGCAGACTCCAGCGGCGGCGTCCGGGACAGAAATGTCTGTTCGTGCAGCGGACGGAGCAGACTGGCACCGAGGCGCAGAGGAGATCCGGTGAATGCGGTGAAACGAGCGTCTCCCTCCGAGCCCGCGATGTGGCGGCTGCTGGGACGAGACCAGTAGGACCGTCGGTTCTCGTTCAGCAGCGTTTTAACGGGTGAGTGTGTGTTTGTTTTGGACACAGCGGCTGTGTGTTTTCGTGCAGGTGTCTGGTGGCTCCGAGCCGCCCGGCCCGGCCGCTGGGCCCCCCTCCACCCCCGCTGTGCGCTCCCCGTGTCGGCGTCAGTCCTCCCCCAGCAGCCGGCCGGCCAGTCCCCGCGTTACATTCCCTCCACGTCCGCTCCCCTCCTCTCGTGGAAAAGCTCTTATGTAAGCCTGTGGGATTCCTTTTTTTTTTTTTTTGTGCAAGACTTCCTGGCCCTGTGCGGGGAAAACACGGAGAGCAGCACATGTGCACCGACTGAGGGGAGCACAGCCTGTTCACATTCCAGCCGCAGGAACACACCGAGGGACGGGCTGAGAGCACAGCCCGCTGCAGGGCTCGGTGCCCGGCTGGTCCACAGCAGCAGCACGGCCCTGAAGGACCAGGGTTCATACAGGACACAGCCCAGGGAGCTTTGTTGGACCTGTAGACAGATTTTTTACTAATGCTGTGTCCTATTAGGTGCTCATATTTACCTTTAGTCTTCATCTAGTGAAAAAAGCAGCTCAGACTGTCGTAAAACCAGAAGTAATGTCATCACAGAGAGTTTAGATTCATCACAGCACAGAATCTGGAAAGAGGACATTTTTTAGCAGCTTTTTTCAAAACTTGAATGATTGAAAGTTTTCTTATTTTGCTAAATCTCTGGTATGTCCATTTTCCCACTACAGGCGTGCATATAGAGTCCCTGGTTTTATTTTATTTATGTATTTATTTTATATTGGGAGGCGTCTGGGCATCAAACTCTTAATTTTCCTGCATTCTGGTGATTTTCTATCCACTGATTTGAGCCTTTTTTTTCATCAGTTTAGGTTGAAAGCATCTCCACTTAAAATCCTGCACAATAAGGTGCACGCGACAGAGGTTTACCAGCTCAAAGGTCCTTTACTTCTCACTGCATCCCTTCACCAAGCCTCCCCCGGCCTGCAGGTGAACCTCATCGCTGTGCATCGTTCAGGTTTATTCAGTTTTAGCCTTATTTAGATGCAACTTTTGGGTTTCAGTCTGGTTTGGATGGACAGAATGAGATTCTTGTTTTGGTCATTGTTGCCTGTGTTCCTCTTATTCTGGAGACGCTGCACAAAATGCTCACTGTGGATGTCAAACTTCTCAAATAATGTTCACAACTCAGTGTTTACTCTCTGTGCACTCAGGTGTTTCATTATTTGACCATCTGAAGTGATTTCACACAGCATGATCTGGACTTGTGACTTAAAAATGACAACAAACTGGAGGTCTGATGAAAGCTGCTGGAGCTGCACAGTGGGGAATGTAAGATGTCGTCTTTTTGGTGATTTTCATGATGCTAGCGTGCTCCCTCGGCTCTCTTCCTCGCATCCTACCACCTCCTCCTCCTCCCAGTGAGGTGATGACAGAGCGATGCTGGCAAATAAGAAATGCATCAGCGGCCGATGACGCGCTGCACAGCTGTACGACGTGTCCAAACCAGCACCCGCGAAGCCACAGCATTTCTGGATACCTTGGATACCCAGGGTTTCCTTATTTTAAGCTCCTCCCAAAGCTCGCTCTTTGTCTCCTCGAGGCACATTTCAGTGATTAAATCATCCTCGGTGATGGTGAAGAAGGGGGACGGGTCGCAGGAGGTGGCACGAGTCGGCAAAATAAAAAGCACCCAGGAAGTGTCGACCTCTTTTTGATCAGATGTTTTTATTGTTTGAGTGTAAAGTTTTATTTAGGAGACAGTCAAAGAGAGATGTGTTGAGCCAATGAGAAGACGCTTTATTGTCATTGTGGGATAGACTCCAGCCCCCCATGACCCTCAGTGAGGTTGAGGTTTTGGGGTTGTTGGTTGGTTTCTTCTTCTTCACCCTTCGTCAGTTTTTTTTCGTCTTCTTGCTGCAATATTCAACTTGTCTCTACTTTTGTCATTTCTACTGAGTCAGATCCACTCAGCTTTAGTTTTATTGATGTTATCTCAAGCAAACAACAAAAAACAAGTTTTCTGTTCTCTGTTTTTGCAAACAAACTCTTCATTTGTTAGTCGTGGTTCCTACATCTGTGTTGTATCCTGTTGGCTCTGGTGACTCTGCCAGAGGGTCGGCTGGTGAACAGAGGGTCCTGGTGGGACATTAATGACATTATTTGTGTCTCTTTTCTATTCAGACGTGTGAGTAAAGACCGTGAGGAAGCATGAGCTCTACTGCAGCCTTACACTGATGTTGTCACTGGTGTATTATTTACTCTCGTGCCTTCCTGCCCCAGTGGAACGTGTCCGTACAGGAACCGTCTAACCACCGGTGTTGCTCTTTGTTCACAGAGTTCCTCCACGACTCTACCTTCTGCCCGGGGACCCACCTTCTCCCCCTCCTGCCTGCGCCGCCCGCCGCCCAGCGATGACGTCCCCGGACTCGCCGCCGCTGGTCTCCCCGTCCCCGTGCCCCGCTCCCCCTCCGTCCCTGCCCTCCTCCCCGGTGCCCTCCTCCCCGGCGCCGTCCTCCTCCTCCATCCCCGCCCCGCCCTCGCTGCCTCCCACGGGGGAGGTGATGGTGCTGGCGCTGGGCAGGAAGAAGCAGAGGGTGCTGATCGCCCTCTCCATCCTGCCCAACCTCTTCCTGGCCTTCCTGCTCTCCTCGGACCCCCTCATCACCCTCTCCCCCCACCACCACTGCCACCTGCCGGGCCCGTTGCCGTCGCCGGAGGTGCTGAACGCCTCCCTGCCCTGGGAGAAGGGGGAGCGGCCCGGGGACAGCGGCGGCCCGTCCCAGTGTAAGCAGTACGCCAACGGCAGCCAGTCGGCCGTGGTGGACTGCGAGGCCGGCTGGGACTACAACGTGACGGAGGGGCTGAAGAACAACATCGTCACCGAGGTAAAGCCTGGAGTCCTCTGATTATGGCCTCGCTGAGCGTTTCAGCTTCATGCGGGAACTTTTTGTTTATGTCTGGATTAAGGGTCTTAAAATGCTGAAAACTTAGTTTCCTCTTTTATCCTGTATTTATCCGCAGCGGGGTCTTGCTGAGCGAGCACTCTGGCTTTTTGCTTTGCCCTGCGAAACCTCGACCCAGCTGCACACATTTGTTGTCATGAGTTGGACAAACAGTCTCCTGGTGGCTACCGAGCAGCTCCTCTGAAGCTTTCAGGGCTTAGTTTTAATTTGTCATTCCATTAACTTCACATAGCTTTCATTGTTTTTGGTCATTTTACAAAACTAAGATCAGATTAATTAGATTCTCAGGCAGGTTTTCATTCATTCTCCACATGATGAAACCTTCCTGCTGACTGATAACGTTTAGGACCTTTTATTTATGCTTTCAGGTGAAGTTGTGGAAACTCCAGTGATTATTCCCGATAGCATTTTCCTACACAGCGTCCTGTTTGCTGTGGGTAATGAATGTGTTTATGTTTGCAGCTCTACCGACCGACTCGGGTTAATCCCGGTCTGCTGACTTCTCTGTAAAGCTAAACCACAGAACTGCTCGTATTTGCATAAAACAGTTGTTGCAGTGGCGTCCGCTCACTCCCCGGGTCTGCATCCTCCAACGTCTGCATCACTTGTCAGGTTGTAGTTTAGTGTCATTTAATTTAGAGGATTTTCCTGCATAGATGAGTTTCTGGCACCGTCCCAGGAAGCTCCAGCCAGCATCGAGGGGGAATACACTTCACTGGCCAATTTTATTCACTGAGGTTTCATTTACTCAAGAAAAATATCTGGTTTTTGTTTCTTGAATGGACAGAAAAGAGAAAAGGCTCAGGTTTTTGTCATATAGATGCAGATTTGGTGCCTTTATTCTGTTGAATTTCAGAAAACCCTGATCCAACCCTCTGAACCGAAGCAGTTTTGGGTTTTTTTTAAACTCACTGTGGGCTCATTTGTTGCTGCACTATGAAGTCCTGTACCTCTGAACAACCGGGGCTGGAATTAACACAAACATGTCTCCTGTGCAGCGTGACACAGTTAGAATACCTTAAATCATTAAACAGAAGTTCTTTTATTTCATTATTCATTCAACAAGAACTGGAATCAGCACGTGTAGCGTTCTCCAAGCGTCCAAAGCTGCTGGCAGCACTGGAATGAATGGCGGTTCTACATACTGTCGCTGCTTTACTGCATGTTTTCAATGAGTTTCCACGTTTGTTTCCTGTCTGCAGTTGAGCTAAAAAGTCCCTGAATATTCGTCATGGGATGCTTGTTAACAGTCCCTGATGGTTTCCTGGTTTCGGTGATGAGCGCAGAATTATTAGTTTATCACAGAATCTGGGGTTTAGGAAGCGGCTCTGTTGAAATGACACTCGTAGAATATTTACAGTTTTGAGGAATTTACAGTTTTAAGCTTGGATGCTACGCTCCAGCCTCTAGGGTCAGCTGGATGTGACAACAACCAGGTGGAAATGGTTCAGGAAACGCAGTTTATCGCTCAGTAAATGAACACAACATAACTGACAACACAGAAGAAGATGGTGGACGTTGGTAAAAATCAAAGAACCAAACGAAGGCTAACAGAGTGAAGAAGCTAGCTAACAGAAAACTAGACTCCTTAGCCATGATTAAACCTGACAGCAACATCCACACATAACAAAAGAAACTAAAGCAAACTAGTGCCTCAAAACACACCAGACACGAGGAACTTCTTCACCAGGTTGGGCAGCTGCTAACCAAGAAGCTAACTCCCACCGAGTCAGCAGCTGCCAGCAGAAGTTACCACAAAGACACAAACCGAGAGGAACCAGGACGGATTGTTAACGCTAAATACCAGCCAGCCCCAACTGAAAGGTTGCTGGTTGCGTTTATATCCAGGTGTGGAGGAGGAGTGGTCCAATCAGATGTGAGCGGAGGCAGGAGAACCAGGGCCTGAGTGCAGGTCTTCAGCTCCAGGATGATCAGCTGAGATGACTGGTGTCCTGGAGCAGCTCTCAGCCACAGCTGGGCCTGCACAGGTCATCTCCACATGCAATGGTCACAGGTCGACAGAACCATAACGGCACCAGCACCGTGGGCCGGGACATTTTTGGTAAAACTTCCCGTCACATGTCAGGGATTCGTCCTGTTTTTGCAGCTTCTAGCTCTGGTAAATGGCTTCATTTTGGTGATTTTTAAAACACAAAAACGTGCCTTTCAGTCCCACTGGTGGGTTAATTGAACTCCCAACTCTAATAGAAATGCAGTTTGTTAAGATGTCAGAAAGCTTACGGATCAGGATTGTGGAGGCAAAGAGCAGAATACACGATGACCTGTTAGGAAACGTGGGTTTAATCTACGGCGCTAAAGAGAGACTTCAGGTTACCAGAGACGTGTCTGAACCGTCAGAGGTCAGAATCTGCTCACAGATCTTGAGTATTGTGTGAAAAAGCAGCCCAGTTGTGGTTGATGTAAATACCTCTCCTCGTCCTTCCCCTCCTCCGTCCTGCAGTGTTCCTCTGACTTATTCATCAGACTTCCATTCAGCCGTGAGGGGAGGAGCGCTTTGACACCGACTCGTGATTTGAACCGACCTGATGGTTGTGAGGCCAGGTCGCATGATGCTCAGTGACTCATTCAGAAGTGTGTGTTTTGACTGACGTCAGCGTGTCGACCTGAGAGGGCGGCGAGATGTCGGACGAACATGCCCGAGATGTCAGAGATCAGAGATTGCTGGAAGAGAACAATCCCTGGTCACACCCATGTTACCTCTGAGAGAGAAAGACGAATAGTTTGATGTTTTGTTTGGGTTTTAACAGCAGATTAATGGGATCAAACATCTGGTGCAAGAATCTGAACCTCCAGGGTTCGACTTTGCACCTCCAGCCTTTTAACTCCAGCTCACTTCTCGCCTTCATCAGTCCGTGTTTCTGCTCCTGGTTGGAGATCAGCTCCAGTGAAAGAGGAAGTGAATATGATATTACTGTACCTTTAAATAGACTTTTGTCTCCTAAAAACATCAGCAGTTATTGACAGGTTTGAAAAATAATCCAGCATCAGTGGCTTCAGGTGATTTATTTTCCTCTAAGGAGAGAAAAGAAATCGATTGAGGAGGCTGGAGGAGCTTTGGTTTGTCTGAAA